TTTTTATGTTTTGTCTTCTAACTTGATAGAGGTTACAGTCATTCAGGAGAAAGAAACCTCAATTGAGAAAATGCCTCCAACAAACTGCCTGTCTATAGGGGAATTTTCTTGATTAACAGTTGATGTGGGAGGGGCTCACTCACTCTGTGCAGTGTCATCTCTGAGGAAGTAATCCTGAGCAGCTCATGGGGAGTAAGACAGAATGCAGCACTCATTCACAGCCTCTTCATCAATTCCTGCTTCCCGGTTTCTGCCTTGGGTTGTTGTCTTGACTTCTGTTATAATATCTTGTGATTTGGAAATGTAAGTCTAATAAATCCTTTCCTTTCCATGTTGCTTTTGGTCCTGGTATTTATCACAGTAATAGGAAACTAAACTAAGAAAGATTTGTAGGACATTTGGCAATATCACGGACTTACTAGATTCCTGTAACACACTCCCATTTGTGACAATAAAACAAAAGATTTAGACACTTTCAAATGACTCCGGGGAATCAAAATCATTCCTGACTGAGACTTAAGACTTTAATGTTTCCCCTGATTTTTGTGTTTAAAAACAGGCTATTTACTGGGTATGGCAACACATGCCTTTGGTCACAGCACTCTTAGCATAGATAGGCAGATTTTATGATTTCATAACCAGCCTGGTCTACATAGCTGTGGTTACTATAATTCTTTCTTCCTAATCTCATTGACTAATAGTCCAGAAGGTAATCATACACATTGATTATGAAAGTTCTCTAATGCTTTTGATTGATTTCATTTTAGAAATCTGTAATTGATTGCTCAGTAAAAGTGTATGAGACCAATATTCTCTATCATTACATGTGGATAACATTTTGCCTGTGTCCTTTGAAAGTCAAATGCAGTTGTTTCTTAATATAGAATCATTGGCCTATACACTCTTGTGTCTTTTTAATATGCTATTTCATTTTTTTGAGCGATAAACACTGGCTATTGAAAAGGCAGATGCTGTTCCATCCTCTGCTTTAGTAGTCTGTTGGAACACGGTTCAATAAAGCAGTCATGTGAGGAGAATTCTTAATGTTTTTAAGAAAGCTCCAAATGAATTTGTGATCTCAGTTTCTTATAAAAACACAGAATTGTTTTTGGAATATGCTTTTGTGCCCCTGACATGTATAGTACATGGGAGTGAGTTTACTAAGATTATTCATTACAACTGACTGTCATTTGTTTATATGCATGTATGGAAAACCATGTTTTGTCACACGTGGCTTGTCCTTGTAATTGTACACTTTACTCATGTGACTTCTCTTAAACCTCAGATTATAAATTGTCTTCCATTCTGAATAAAGTTGTCTATTGTGTGTCTTTAGTCAGCCTCATTTATCAGCTCCATTCCCCATGCCCCACACCCCCTAGAGCAGTAAACAGCAATGTTTACTTTCTACCACATTTCAAACATATGCTCATATTTTTCTTCTTGTAGTAGTTTGATACACATTTTTTTGTGTGTTGGTTATTATGGTTATGTTAAATAAAGGATATATTTACTTTTTTGCTTTTAATTTTTTTCTGTGTATGTATGAGTGTTTTGCCTGCATGTTCCTCTATGCACCATGTGTACATAGTGTATAGTACATGGAGAGGTCAGAAGAGGCGTTAAATCCTCGGGGATTGAAGTTAGAGGTGGTTGTTGAGTCTCCATAAGGGTGCTGGGAATCAAACCCAGGTTTTGGAAGTGTAAGCAGTGCATTTAATCACTGAGCCCTTCTTACAGCCCCTTACTTAAAAGGGCTTAATATAAGATCTTTCAGTACTTTTCCTTCAACTATGTTTTCTTAAGTTTATTATTATTATTATCATTATTATTATTATCATCCTTATTAGTAGTAGTAGTAGTATTTGGATTTTTTTCTGTGTGCTAGTTTTTTTAATTCTTCAACATTTCCTATTCTTTACAAGTTGAATTATTTTTGTTTACAATATTTGACACTTATACTCATTTTCTTTTTTCTTTCTTCACTTTCTTGCCATTATTTCTATGTCTTCACTCATTTTATTTCCTTTAAGTCATTATATGCTGTACTTACTTGTGTTCTTATTTATAGTTAAATCTTTTTTTTAATTATTCTTTTAGGTCTATTTATGTCCTGGACTCTATCATCTCAATGAGTCCTTTTATTTCTGGCTTTTGTGTCTACTATAATTTATTCACTACTTTTAGTTTATTTTGAAATAGATTAGTTAAGGTCCTGATGCTGGGGGTTCTTTCTGGCATGTTTCAACTGATATTGAGTGACGTTAATCGGATATTTATTCTCCTTTTCTCTTTAACAATATTTTTAAGAATTTGGCCTGTAAACGGTAGTATTTTTGCAAATAGATTTCCATGAACCTTCTCAAGAAAATACTTCTCAAGATTTTTTTTAAAATTTTTTTAGTAGCTGGTTTAAAATATGGTGGTTTACTCTCCACTTCCTGGCTTTTGACCTTCCTCGTCATCTGATTTCTCTTTTTGAAGGGTTCATTCTGCGAGGTTTCCCTTTCTAAGCATGCTGAAAGTTCTAGCGCTTACTGCTGGAGCCACTTTAAAAATGACTGTTGGGTTTGTGTCATCATGTTATGATTTTGGACATCGTCATTTACTGTCGATTATTCTTTTCACATTGGCCACTGTGCCTTGCAGAAAGTCATCCTAAGAGGGAACCTTAGGAAAATGCTTCTATAAAACCCAGCTATAGGGTGTTTTCTTAATTAGTGATTGATGGGGAGGGCCCAGACCATTGTGTACAAAGCCAATCCCTGGGTGGTGGTCCTTGATTCTAATAGAAGGCAGGCTGAGCAAACCACGGAGAGCAAGTCAGTTCCTGCCCTTGCTGTTGTAAATAGCAAACTGTTTTGTGGAAGTGCGAAAGAAATGAACCCTTTCCTCCTCAAGTTGTTTTATCATTGCAATAGGGACCCTTTAAGAAAGGAGGTTTCGGTTTGCTTCAGAAGAGTGATTTTTGGCAGTTTGCCCCTATTGCAGTGTATGGCCCTATACATGTGCACAGACGGCACTGATTGGACTCAGTGGGTTATGAAAATAGGGCAGGAAGTTGGGGATATATGAGGGGTGTCTGGAAGAACTTGGAAATAAAGCAAGGGGAGGATATATATATAGAAATTCTAAAACAATGAATTGTTAAAACTCTATGAAGTAGCTTTTCTTGATCATTTTTTCAGATAAAGATATGTATAAATGGTGATTAAGCAAATTTAGAGAGGAGAAAGAGCAGAGATACATTTTTATGCATGTTGGTATTAAGACTGGCCTTTAATTCACTATTCTTAACTTACCCAAGGTTATTGTGACTGAAAAGTCATACTGAAAAATATGGCTTGTAGTGTTGGGTAAAGTTCCTTTGTGTCCAGACAACCAACCATTTGCCATTATAAAACTTTGTTGAGCTTTACCCAGCTGGAGACAGACATCCTTGACAACATCCTTCACTTTGCTTAGTTCCTCTGGGTCTGGTGAAGGTGTAAGTGACAAAACAATCCCACACCAGTTCAGAATTATGGATAATAAAAGAATTTATAGATATAGTTCTCCGTAGTTATGATAAAAGATAAAGAAAAAGTATATATAAGTATTGTGACCATAATTCTTATTTGATATCTGTTTTGTTATATGTAATTTTACTGTTAAAGTTATAGCCTTCCTTTTTTGTTTAAACAGAAAAGGGAAAATGGTTTAGGATGTCCTTCTGTTTATGTGTTGCTTTTATTGGTTAATGAATAAAGAAACTGCCTTGGCATTTTGATAGGGTAGAACTTAGGTAGGCGGGGAAAACAGAACTGAATGCTGGAAGGAAGAAAGCAGAGTCAGAGAGAAGCCATGGATCCTCCACCTGAGATGGACGCCAGTTAGAATCTTGCCAGTAAGCCACAGACACATGGCAGTACACAGATTAATGGAGATGGGTTAAATTAATATGTAAGAGTTAGCCAATAAGAAGGTAGAGCTAATGGGACGAGCAGTGTTTTAACGAATACAATTTCTGTGTGGTTATTTTGGAGCTAAGCTATCTGGGTGGCCAGGACAAACAAGCAGGCCCTCAACCTGCAACAGTCTGGTATTTTTTTTCTAGTATCAATGCTCTTTAGGACTTGGCACTTATTTCTGACTAGGGTGTCTAAAGTTTAAAGGGCTATAGCTTAATAAAGCCATAGGACATTCACTGATAAAATGTTTTGCTGGATTAATCATTCTTAATAATGGAGAAAACACATTTATTTAATATCCACCTTGTTCAAAGACTCATTTTTATCTTAAATATATTTGTTGTAGCTATAGTTATAAAAACTTTAATCTGTAAATACATACGAAAATATATTTTACATTTTTTGTTTATTTGTGTGTGTGCATATGTGAGTGACATCGCACACTGTGCAAATGTAGGTCAGAGGACAACTTATGGAAGTTGGTTCTTTCTTTCTACCACATGGGTCCTAGGAATGAAACTCAGGCATCAGGCTTAGCAAAAGTTCTTTTTCGCTCATGAGTTATTTCACTGATCTCTCAGTATAGTAAATTTTTGCTTTCTTAATTTTAAAATTCAAATGATTTGTATTTTTCAAACTCCTAATTCTTCTACTTAGTTTTATTTAATTTTTTTTCTTTTTTCCTTTACTGAAAATAGATTTTTCTCACACATATATGCTGATTATAGTTTCTCCTCTCTTTACTCCTTCATTTCCTCCCCCTCTCTGCTTCCATATAGATCCACTCCCTTTCTTTCTTTCATTAGAAAACAAACAGACTTTTAAGGGATAATAATATAACAATATATAATATAATATAATGATAAATCAAAAACTAACACACTGGAATAAGATAAAACAAACAAAAGGAAAAGAGCCCAAGAAACAGATATAGTTACAGAAATGCACACATCCACATACTCAGGGATCATATAAAAATACTAAATCATATAAAAAAATAGTTACAGAAATTCACATTCACATACTCAGGGATCATATAAAAATACTAACCTGGAAGCTCTAATGTGTAGGCAAAGGACCTGTAGGGTAAAAAGAGAGAAGAAGAAACAAATATGGCAGCAGAAGGGGCCTGGACCTGAGTAGAAACTTGAAGAGGAGAGAACAAGGCCCACTCAAAACAGTTCATTTAAAATTGTGTATCCATAAGAGAGATAATGAACATTCAGGTTAGTAGTGTTATCAATGGGTGATTACTAAAATGAAGTAGAATCATACAATAGGCAGAGGTCAACTTCTGTAATTACTATAGGTCATGGTGAAGAATTTAAGTTTTGTGTAAAGTCTGATTGAAAGCCATCAGATTGTTTTCAACAGAAGCCTATCATAACCCAGCTGTATTGTGAAATAAATAGAGTACATGCTGTTGGAACAAATGGAGTAATATCATCAGCTTAATTGAGGCAGCAAAAATTTACTTAATCCTTTTGAACTTCATTTATTGTGTTTTAAAAGATAATGACACAAATATTAATTAAAAAGAATTTTGTAAGTTTAAATGAAAATACACAATAATTCTTTTGACATGTATGTCAAACAAATTGTAATAAATGTAGGTTCATTCTTCCTGTTCTACTTGTGTTTTCTCCTTAATTCTTCAGAATAAGCCTATGTTAATTGTTCTTTCTTCTGTGTGCTTATGATATTTCTTACCTATAGAAATCACTTTAATTTTTTATCTCATAAATATGTTTAGAGCAGTATGCACATACGCAGTACTTAATGATTTTAAAAGTTTCAGTGTACATATGCACATATACCAACTATGTGATATTCATGTATTATCAACAAGATTATAAGTGCAAAGCATATATAAAGAATGTTAGTACAATGTTCTGGTTAGATTTTTGTCAACATGACATAAATCTAGATATATGTGAGAAAAGGTAGTCACAATAGAAAAAAAAAATGCCTTCGTATGATTGGCCTGTAGCATGCCTGTAGGATTTTCCTAATTAGTGATTGATGTGGAAGGGTCCAGCCTATTGTGAGCAATGCCATCCCGGGCCATATAATCCTGGGGTGGATAAGAAAGCAGGCTGAGGAAGCTTTATGGTAGAAGCCAGTAATCAAAATTCTTCCATGGCTCCTGGTACTGTTCATGCCTCCAACTTCCTGCCCTGAGTTCTAGCCCTGACTTCCTTCAGTGATGACCTGTGACGTGGAAGCATAAGCCAAATAAGTATTTTCTCTTGCATAATTATGTTCATGAAATACTTAGTTGGCTTTAATAAATTCTTAGCTATTATTGAATTTTTTCCTGGATCTACCTATAGGAAATCTGAAAGTAGAACAAGGTTATGGTCTGTGGTAAGTTTTGAGCTTGAGGAAGATAGAATAACCCACAGAAAAGACCCAATAATTAATCATTCATAAATGAAATGAAGTTCAAAGGAAGTGTGGAAAATGTTCACATACCAGGGAATGACTCATTTAGATCCACATGTGGCACCTCCTACACATGTGCACGGGGCTTGAGCATCTGACTTTCTCACACAATCTGGCTGAGACATCAGAACCTAAACACCCAGATTAAACACTCCAGACCCTGAATTGCTTTAATACACGTAAAGCAATAAATCTCCAGGATGAAAGACACATAAAATGGCAGAGTTCAATGAAAAGCCATGTGCAAGCCATGTTTGTGTGTGATTTATTGGACAAAGGGTGAAAGCTAAAAGCCCCTTCCTTGCCTCCTGTGTTAATATTAATGCAGAATTAGCAACATCATGTACTTCATAGTGTGCAGAAGTAAACATGATCAATTTCTTTGACATTTCAGAGTGTAGCATGAAGTCAACTTCTTGTGATTTTCTAATAAAAGAATCACAGAAGGAATAAAATGAGATCGAATGCAAGCACAGCAAGACTGAGTACTCACAACTACATAATTGTTAATGCTGGATTGTGTTTTTGTGGTGCCTTTCAAGAAGAATAGAAAGAGGACACTTTTCAATACCACATAATTAAAACAAATAATGGTTGCTCTATTTTGCTTTCTTTGCATTTGTGATTTATATGTTTTGCTGAATACATAGTTAAAGCCATGTTGGCTCTGTAGAAACAGCAGCATACCCCTGCATGCTCCATAAATCATGTACAAAAGTGCTGTGAGTACCACCATTTACTGAGAGCAACTGATGTTTTCTATAAACATACTATTAATATGAGCATCAAATGCAAAATGCATACTAATGTAGTTCAATATTTGACAGGATCATCTGAGTAGTATTAAGTCATTTTCTCTCTTCAGTTGCCACTTCCTTCCACATCCAATTAATTCTATCTTCTTGTAGGTGTCCACCATGCAAAGATATGTTTGACTATTGCTATATGTCAAGGAAGAATTATTTGTACCACAAAAACCAACCTAACATTCTAAGCTTTGATAATTCCAGATTACCTTTTATTCAGTTACTTTATTTCCACAATCAAAAAAAGTATTAAAGTCATTACCATCCAAACAGCTATAAAAGTCTCCATAAAAACTCTACATGAAGTGAGCTGTTAAACAGACAGAACAAATATAGTATATGTGGCCAGATTCATAAAGAGCAAATTAAAGTGAATGACATTCATATTCTAACGAAAAAAATCCAAACCTCAACAAAAGAATTAAAAATATATTTCCTTACTGGGAAAAGCAAACTATTTCATCTCCATGGTTCATTTACACAATGGAGTACTACACAGCAGAAAAAAAAATAATGTCATCGTGAATTTACAGGCAAATGGATAGAGCAAGAAAACATCATTTTGAGTGAGGCAACCCAGGCCTGGAAAGACATCATATATACTCACTCTTAATTTTTTTTAAACATAAAGCAAATAAAACCAGCCTACAAATCACAATCCCAGAGAAGTTAGACAACAATGAGGACACTAAGAGAGAGCAGGGCAGGATAAAGGCACTGGGACTTGTTTTTATGAGATGTTTTGGCTTTTTGGGACCTTAGTCTATATGAATGCATAGCTCCCTAGGCCTGGATGGGGGGGGGGGGCTTGGACTTCCCAAAGGGCAGGGTTCTCTGCCCTCTCTCAAGTGAGACATTTCATTGTATGGGCTACTAAGCTCAACCAGCTTGTATATTATAAAGGTTTCTTGATTTCAAAATTTGAGTCTAAGGATATGTTGCGTTGGAAAAGAGGTTCTTCTTTTGTCTCCACAGAAGATGAGCACCTGTGGATTGCTTCCAGACCAATATGGTTTGATGGAACAAGATCCCCTGAAAGGTTGCTGTGAACACCCACACAAAGAAAATACTTTGTCCAATAAACAGCAGGAAGCAGTTTGGAGATACTGTGCCCATATTCCCAAAATTTGTCTATAATGTTTCTTTTCCCTTAAAGAGGGATATGCTATAGAGATGGACACTTTGCACGGGTATGGATCTTGCTCTTTTGATAAAAATTTAAGGTCAATCTTGCTATATGTACATTTCTGCTCTTGATTAAAGTATTGGAATTGTGTAGTTCATTTAAAAATGTAATGCATAATTAAGAAATATAGGTTAATAGATAGTCATCTATAATAGTCAAGCTTGTAGTCATGTTAGTTAGGTTTTCTAGATATATAGTTGGCAAATCTCTTAAAGTGTTATATTTTATCATTGATCATATCTTGCCTGAAAAGTTGGCCTTGTAGTTCTTATGTTTCATAGCTGGGTTAGACTGTTGATGCCTTTTAACATTCTCCCTAATACTGGCTTAACAAATGTAAGCCACTAAGTCATATACTTGAGGAACAAATTATTTTTCACTTTAGCTTATATTCTACAGTGTGTTGTGTGCATGCATGCATATGTGTGTATGTATGTATGCTATGTTGGCATATGCATTTTGCACATATGTGTGCAGATATACTTGCTTATGCACACATGTTGAGGTCAAAGATCAATTTCAGGTGTCATCCTCTACCAAACTACTGCCTTATTTTTTGAGACAGGGATTCTTCTTGAATAAAAGTTTTATATTTCCTCTAAACTGGCTATCCTGTGGCATCAGCAATTGCCTATATTTACTGCCCTCCCCCAACACTGGGGTTACAAATATACACTACCACATTCAACTTTTATGTCAGGGTTAGAGATTTAAACTCGTGTCTTCATGCCTGTGCAGCAGACATTTATGTTATGTAAAAATGTATTGCATTCATTCATTTTTCACAATATTTGCTTAACTAAGAAAAATGTATTTCTTTCGTTTAATTATGTAAAGATGTGTTGCTGTTTTACCTTGCCTAAGACATCTGATTGATTCAACAAAAAGCTGAATGACCAATATCAAGGGAGGAGGGATAGATAGGACTTTCAGACAGGAAAAGTAAGTAGGAGGAGGAGGAATTTGGGCAAAAGAGACGAAGGGAGATATCAGGCGTTAGCCAGACAGACATGGAGGAAGCAGGAAAGTAGGGCATATAGAATGAAAGAAAGGTAAAAGGCCCCAAGGCAAAATATAGATGAATAATAATAGAAACAGGTTAAATAGAGTTAAAAGGGCTATTGGGAGAAGCATAAGCTAGAGCCATGTATTTATAATCAAAAAGTCTCCATGTCTTTATTTGGGAGCTGGCTGGTGGCCCAAAAAATTCCACCTACACCATGCTAAATAACTAGCATGGTAGGTAACAGCATGGAAATTTCTCATCTCTGTTTAAGTCACTATTTCATAAACTTTATTATTAACCATGAAAAAAGTTATCATACATTTGAATTCACATGTTCATAAGATTAAATATGTATAGGAAAGTTTTATTTGTTGAAAAGCATATAGGAATATTTCGGTCTCATCATTGCTTATAAATGTGTGTGCATATAAAAGAAAAAATCCAATATAATCCTTATACAACTCTTAATATTCTGATATATTCAGTATGTCTATTGTTATTGCATATGTAATTTTTATCTGTTTAAAATATTAAATATGAAATATATAAATACTATGATAACATAGTATTTTAGACTCAGTATAAAAACTAAAATTATTATGAATAAAATGATTTTATGTCATTGTTTAAACTTTTAAATCAGGAGTCTTATGAACTATAACAGTACAAAATGCCATCTAGAGATTTTAAAAACAATGTTTTATTTTAAATAAAAGTCAATTTGTGACTCATAAATCATTTTCATACAATATGTTGCCATTTATTCAGCTTTAGCACAGATAACAGTTTAAAGAAGGTAAATAACTTCTTTTTTAAGTCTTAATTCAATCTGTGAATGAATTCAAATTAATCTTTAATCTAAATTTAGCTTTTCTAGTTCCTTGTAATTGGAATTTAAGAAGTAAAGACTTTAAAAAAGTCCATTACTTACTTCAAAAATATGTCATGGTAATCACTCATAGCTCCTCTGCAGGAAACGTACCATCTCAAATTCAATTTCTTGAAAATCTGCGAGAATGAACTGAGTATTTATCATTTGTCCGGAGTCTCTATCTGTTTATCAACCAGGAGTTTTTTTTTCTATCAGAGGTAGATTGTCAGCACCATACATGTCAGTGTAGGAGCAAGACAACTTCAGACCATTCACAACTTGGTCTGTCAGGCATAAGAACAACAGAACAGGTGTAAAAATGCCAATGGAAAGCTCCACATCCTCTCTGCCTGTCTGTGGTGTCATAAGGCTTACGGTCAAATTGTATCTTTATCATCTCTACTTCCAACTCCTTGAAATTGCCCTGTTCATGTGCAGAGAATGAGAGATCTTGGAACATTCAGTGTTAAGTTGAATATCTCCAAATCCCTCACCCTCAGGACACATCAGAACTCTACAGAAGAGGACACAGAAAGGTTGTAAGATTCAGGGAGGATAGAGAACATCAAGGAAACAGTATCTTTCAGGCACAACAGCACTGAGATGGAGATGAACTCCCAGAGACTGAGAGAGCATGCGCAGGGACTGCACATTTCTAAGCCAGATGGGGTCTCAACACTGAGAGAAGAAAATAGACACAAGCTCCAATCTCCAACAACAAAGTTAGCTCCAGTTGAAAAGCGCAAAGAAAAATTAATTTGCTCCAAGGAAGTCTCACTGGGTATACAAACCACTACAGCAATACAATTAAGAGCAGGACCCATGCCCAGCAATTAAAGACCAACACAAAACAAACTCAAAGGTATTTTTGGAGATTGTCACATAATTCATTCTTTGGATGTTTTTATTTTTGTTTTTTTTTTTTTTTGTTTTTTTTTTTTTTTTTTTTTTTTTGGTTTTTCGAGACAGGGTTTCTCTGTGGTTTTGGAGCCTGTCCTGGAACTAGCTCTTGTAGACCAGGCTGGTCTCGAACTCACAGAGATCCGCCTGCCTCTGCCTCCCGAGTGCTGGGATTAAAGGCGTGCGCCACCACCGCCCGGCCTTCTTTGGATGTTTTTAAAAACTGAACTTCATGATCTTTTGCTTGGACATTCCAATTGTATTTTGATGAGTTTCATTGCTGTGTGTGTGTCTGTTTTTTCTGATCTTTGTTTATTTTTGGTTCTTAGTTTATTCCTTTTGTTTTATCCTTCTTTGTCTTTCATATTTGCCTGTTTTCTGAAAGTGAAAGGAGGCATGGAGATAGGTGGGGAGGAGGGGAGTAGATGAGGGAGCAGAAACCATGATCAGAATATTTTGTATTAAATTTTTTTCAGTTTGAAAATAAGAAGAAATAAATAGCTCCGTTTGTTCTAAGTGAAGCTATGCCTTCCTGGGCAACCAACTTTCCCCTGAAGGAAACCCTTCATCTAGTGCTTTCTTTCCCCTCTATCCTTAGACATATTTTGGTGGACACACAGGGACAACATATACTAAAACAGGCCAGAGATACCATGAGCAAGGAAGGAAGAATAAAGGTAACTTACTGTCCCACTCTTATTTCCAAGAAACCCAGAGTACTTTAATCCCCAAAACAGGAAGCAGACACAGAAAGCCTTAATGTTGGGGATCATTGACCAACTTCTTTTCTGTTAAACAAGTAAAAGCTAAGCCGAAAGATGCAAAGTTGGGAAACTCAGGTCTCCCAATTCCGAGCCCAGCGTTCTTGTCTTTCCCTGATGCTCTGCTGGTATCATTTTTATCAATTCTGTTTCTGAATAAATACTCTGTTCAAGTCCTGCTAGCAGACTGCAGTTGCCCAGTCTCCTGTCTTAATGCTTGTTCTACCATCCTGTTCCTGTCCATGGTTCTTGAAGAGGATTTCTCCTCAGAGACACTGTGCATGATCATCCTAAATAAAATTCCCCGGCATTCTTTCCAAGCAGACATTTAATACAAGCTGGAATCATATTTCTGTTGATTTGTTCACTCAGTTATTTGTCACTTTTCTAAACTAGGATTTATATTCCATGGGGCACAAACCATAGTGATTCTCTCTATCATGCTATGGTAAACTATCTGGCACATAGTAGGTATTTGCTGTAAAATTTTATGCTTTGTGATAGAAAAGCAAAGACAAACGAGCAGCATCTCTACCCATAGAAACCCATGATCAAATAGAGGAAATGGGTAACCTTTTCTTACTGATTAAAACCTCTATGCATCCTCCAGTTAGTATCTGATTTTTCATGCCCTTGCAGATATCTTGGTTGTACTCTATTCTCCCTTCTTCATACGCAGTATTACTCATACTGGAACATAGGGCTCCACTCCTGAGATACATGTTCTCCAAGGATTAGAATGTATGTATATATAATAAGTCATGCTTTTAACTGTCATTCATAAAAGGATAGAATGGAATAAAAGGAGTTAAAAACTCAAATCTAAAATTTAATTTTTTTCAGCATTGGAAAAAGATTAAGAATTTGACATAATCAGACCCATAGGTCACCAGCAATTCTGGCAGAAAATCTCTGGCAATATCTAATGTAGAGGACAAACTACAACAAAAATACATGGGAGCCCATTACAAGGGAGGTACTGGCTGTATTAATGTAAATAAAATGAATGAGGGAGATTCTGGCTGTATTAATGTAAAAAAAGAAACTGGTAAAAACATTATTTTAGCTGGAAAAAGATGTATTCTGATTAAGTATAAAATATAACAATTTAATTGCTTATTGAGAAAATGGACATAGGTATCAAGAGACATTTAAAAGTCCCAGAATTTACACTATTATAAATCAGACTTACCTCCTTGATTTTAGCTTTGGAAACTAGCTTAAGAAACAATATTTCAATCCAATACAGTTGGTTCCAGTTTCACCTAAATGCTTTGGAAAGGACTGTCAAAGAAGGATAGTATTTATTATTTTGGATTAGTAATGCAGTAAAATTGTTTGAAGCATCATGGCCTGGGTTCTAGAAAAAGTGTGTCTATCATCTGTGCTAGGACAGAAATAAGGAAACTTTAAAAATCTAACTTTTGAGAGTCTTTTGATGGTACAAGCATCCATTTCCACAAAGGTGATTTGTGTTCCTCAATTCCTCCATTTATTTCATTAACTTTTACCTCAGTACACCCCAATAAACCTTGCTGCTGACACAATAATCTGAATCAAATCAAATCAAACCAAATTAGAAAAAGCCCAGGTTTAATGGATACTAATGTTCCTGGATGGCTTTCTAGTCCCCTAGAGAGAAGTCTTGGAACGAAGAGTGGAAAAACCACGTGATTCTCTGGGGTGCCCTTAAATACCCTGTGGGAGTGGTCTTGAGCATCTCTTTAGAGTGGTCATCATTTGGCAGGCTTTCTCAGGGGTGGAGTTTGGGCTGAGGCAACTTCCAGGGAAAGGGAATGGAACTTCCAGCGGAACATTCCAGACTCTTTGGATATATGGATGCCAGGAGCTGGGGTGAGGCTTCACCCAAACACCTTTGTGTGATATAACGTTACTAGACTCAAAGGTCACAAAGATCCATGAAAGAATTGCAAAATTCAAGAACACATATATGCAGCCTGTAAAAATTTATCTATGTAGTGCTCACAACCACCTTACCCTTCAGAATGAGCCACAAAGCTGTTAAGTAACGTGTTCAAAGTCACCCAGATACCTAGTGGGGAAAGGAATTAACTATGAGCAGCATATCTCTACAACCTGCTTTATATTGCTTTGTCTCTGGGGACATAGTTAATGTCCTAAGAAAACTTAAGAGTCCAGAATATGAAAGTATATACATTACATTGAGTAAATTAGTTCAGTGAGGCAATAGATAAGTTCAAATGAACAGTTGGGTAGTGATAGGGAGACCAAACTCCTTCAAAATGTTTGGTTCCTTTCTTTAGTCAGGTTACCATGATTTCTGAAACACTGTATAAGTAGTGAAGGAATTCTGAGCGTTTCTTTGAATCTTAACCAAACATGTTCCTGCGGCAGATTAATTTCCCTAATTCCATAAAAACCCCTGACTTTTTTTTTTTAGCAATAAAGAGGTTCTTAGAGTCTGTGTTGTTGCCTCCATGACTTCTCAGCACCTGCCCCCATCCTGGAAAACAGGGATCACATAACAGACAGCAGCAACAAGCCTGCAACAACCCCACAGAAAGAGTACTCAGTATCTGACTCACTACGAAAAAGGAAGAAATGCATGCGGAAAATATTGCAAAGAGTCAGACAAGAATAGGCTTGAAATAAAGAAAGAGATATAGAGAAAGAGAACAGCAAAGACAAATTTTTAAATATTTCAAACCTGGCTTTCCAGCAGGTGACTTTTCTCTCAGTCAACCATTGCTTGTTTTGCAGTGTTTTGAAAGAAAACATTAGGCATCTAAGTATTTAATTGTGTATTGGTCATGTTGCCTTTACTTAAAGTAGGGAGATGATGCAGGAGTTTCCCATCACAGACAATCTGAACAAACAATGGGCTCTTCAGTGAAAGTTTCTATATTTGGATTTAGTGTTGAGTGTGCATAAAAGCCATTCAGGGACTAGATATATTTTATCATCTTTCTTTTCTTTGCTCTGTCCAAGTGACATATATTTATATTATATTCTGAGCCAAAAAAGAGACTTGATTTAATGTTTTTGACAATAATGGTCATGACACTATTTGAGTGATTTAGAGAGATAACTTTCTCTTGCAAAAAATTACATCATCTAAAAATAATTTTGTGATATAGCAAAGGTATTAAATAATTGGCCTAGAAAAATGCTTCAATAAGTCATCCTGGCCTTCAGAAAGGAAGGGAGTGGTTTAAAGATCATAAATATTAAAAGAGTAAAATGTCTGGTTTTTTAATCAGATGGAAATTCATTGAGGTTTGAGTATGGATAGAAAATCAGCTGTATTTTCAGGAAAATAATACTCCTCTATTCAGTTTGATGGAGGTGGGTCTTGTATCTTATCTGTTGCTTTCATTGGTTAACTAATAAAAAAACTGCTTGGCCTGATAGGACAGAAAATTAGGTAGGTGGAGTAAACAGAATAGAATGCAGGGAGAAAGAAGCCAAGTCATTTGGTTGCCATGATTCTCCCA